CCCACGACGATATATGCTATATCGAAGTCACAGTAATGCTCGTATAGAAAGACTTAAGAGTACTGACCATTTATAATGGACCATTTAATATGGTCAGTACGTATTAATAAGATTTATATCATAAACCTAACGCTTAACATAAAATGAGAGGATGTCTCTTCAATTCCGTTTAAATACGAACGGAAATTCTCCCCTTTTTCCTCACTCCAGGATTCGGCCGTAATATGGTTACTTTGTACTGTGCCGTCGTTGGTGTGTCTGGGAGCGCGTTCCCTGTGGACATTGACGAGAACAAGTCCGTGGGGCACTTGAAGAAGGCGATCAAGGAGGAGAACGCATCGACGATCACATGCGACGCCAAGAACCTGCAGCTCTTCCTGGCGAAGAAGAAGAAAGGCGCTGGGGTGTGGCTAACGGAGAACGACGTGAAGGACGGTGTCAGTGACACGAGTGATTTGAAGCTATTGGGCGTTGCAGGAGCGCCGCTCAGCTTGGTTGGCTTGTCGGAGAAGGACGTCAAGTTCGTACCCACGCTAGAGGATGTCGAGTCGATGAACACACCTGTTCACGTGCTGGTGGCGTTGCCTCCTGGGACAAGTAGTGCTCCTATTTCTGATGGGACGGACTTATGGCTGTCGAGATTTCAACATTGTGAAGTTGCAAAACTTACGCTACTGCCGACACGCGGAGATCTAAATGAATTTATCGGACAACCTCTCCCTGTAAAGATTGGGTTACCGCAGTCTGTGTTTCAAGCTTGGTCGAGTCCATCGATACTAGGCCAACTCCTTCGAGATAAATTGCTCGAGCTAAACGACATTTCGCCGTGCGAATTTTTAAAATATTCGGTGTTTAGCGCTGCGTTCCTGTACCCGCAGGTGGATGGGGATGCCACAGAGAGTGCATTTCATTATTTCTGGGACTCAATTATTCGTGTGGTGCTCGGGTTTGTGTTTAGGCGTGCTTACATCAACCGGGATTCGAGCAGGAGATCCTCGTCAGGTTTGAAGCGACCCGACTTTTTGTTTGCTTTGGATCATATCTGTGTTTTTCGTGGTGAGGAGAAAGAACCTCGTACTTCTATCACTGTGCCTCGTGAGGAGCTCTCTAAAACGCTGGTGTGGTCTTACGGTGGAGTGACGTATGTGTTTGGCTATGCTGCGTCGGGCTTCGAGCTAGAATTATTTGCTATCTATCAAGACGTCACGGGCAACGTTAAAACCCACCTTATTGGAGGGTTTAACTTGCAGCATGCGCCGGAACGTTTTCGACTTGTACTGGCACTTCTGAATTTGTGTCTGCTTTTCCCGGCAATTGTGCAAAACTGTCCGGCCTCGGCAGGGACCGAGTTCATGGACATCCATCGCGCCAATGGCGTCAAGGTGCGGTTGAGTCCGATTTTCGTCGATAAGATCTTTCATACACAAGAAGAGTATCGTCGCGTGTAGCAGATCTACGATTCTTTGAAAGCTTATGGGGTTCCTTGTGCCGATGCAGTCGTCACGGTGGATTCAGACCAATTGAGATTGACACTTAAGCCCCGCGGCATTGAGATGAAGCCATGCAGCTTGAGTGAACTGTTCGTCGCGCTCGGGAACGTTCTCGAGGCCCTTGTAGTCCTCCATCGCAACGGGTGGATGCACAGAGACATCCGTTGGTCTAACGTGATCAAGCATATCGACCGCGTTGAATGGTTTTTGATCGACTTCGCTGATGCAGCTCAAAGTCCGCAGAAATATCCCAGCGGCGATCACTTGACGCACGACGAACACGCTTCAGATATTTTTATGGAAGGTGGATCCCACACCAGAGTGCTGCCAAACGGAACGGAGTTCCAATAGGGTTCTGAGCCCAAATGACGAAGCCCCTGAAGTACTCGAGTGAAGGAGTCCCTAAGAACTGGGATGGTAAGGATTGGCAGACGTACAAGTGGGCGCTGATGAACGTCTTCAAGGAACAAGACCTCAAGGACATCGTAGTCGGAGATTTGACCTTAGCGATGCTTGCTACTGCAAGTGCAGAGAAGCAAGAGGAAGCGGATCTTAAGTCCGCCCCCTTAGACCACTCGGGCAAGATACCACGCCAAACCGCATCAAAACCGACGTGTTGGGCGCGTACTTTCCTCCACTCCTGGCGCTCCCCACGACAACGCAACCTCATTTCTGCTTGCACGTCGACAGCACGCAGCTCATAGGCTGCTTCTCGCCTGCCCGGGGACACCGCAACATCTCTCAAGGAGTGACAGCATAACTTGTCCGACATCAGTCCCTGGCAAATCACGCGTCCAGCCCACCCACACAGGGTCATCAGCCCTAAATTACCAGGTGGCCCATGTCTCTGGCTCGTGAGGAAAATAAATTACCGATGGCAAAGTGCAGCAGCACACATCCTTCACAAGTCGCACAGCGCGAATACACGCTGCCCCGCACACAACACCACAAGGTGTAGAAGGATAGCTTTGGTATCTGTGGGGTTTGAGCCCACGCAGACTGGTATGTCTAGTGGATCTTAAGTCCGCCCCCTTAGACCACTCGGGCAAGATACCACGCCAAACCGCATCAAAACCGACGTCTCGGACGCGCACTTTCCTCCACTCCTGGTGCACTCCACGACAGCGCAACCTTATTCCTGCTTGCACGTCGACAGCACGCAGCTCATGGGCTGCTTCTCGCCTGCCCGGGGACACCGCAACATCTCTCAAGAAGTGACACCATACCTTCTCCCACACCCAATCTGTCCGACATCAGTTCCTAGCAAATCACGCGTCTAGCTCAGGGTCATCAGCCATAAATTACCAGGTGGCCCATGTCTCTGGCTCGTGAGGAAAATAATTTACCGATGGCAAAGTGGAGCAGCACACATCCTTCACAAGTCGCACAGCGCGAATACACGCTGCGCCGCACACAACACCACTAGGTGTAGAAGGATAGCTTTGGTATATGTGGGGTTTGAGCCCACGCAGACTGGTATGTCTAGCGGATCTTAAGTCCGCCCCGTTAGACCACTCGGGCAAGATACCACGCCAAACCGCATCAAAACCGACGTCTCGGACGCGCACTTTCCTCCACTCCTGGTGCACTCCACGACAGCGCAACCTTATTCCTGCTTGCACGTCGACAGCACACAGCTCATGGGCTGCTTCTCGCCTGCCCGGGGACACCGCAACATCTCTCAAGAAGTGACACCATACCTTCTCCCACACCCAATCTGTCCGACATCAGTTCCTAGCAAATCACGCGTCTAGCTCAGGGTCATCAGCCATAAATTACCAGGTGGCCCATGTCTCTGGCTCGTGAGGAAAATAAATTACCGATGGCAAAGTGCAGCAGCACACATCCTTCACAAGTCGCACAGCGCGAATACACGCTGTGCCGCGCACACAACACCACCAGGTGTAGAAGGATAGCTTTGGTATCTGTGGGGTTTTAAGGCCACGCCAAAACTGCGTTATGTCTCAGCCGGATCTAAGTCGCCCCTTTAGACCACTCCGGGCAGATACCACGCCAAACGCATCAAAACCGACGCTCTCGACGCGCACTTCTCCACTCTGGTGCACTCCACGACAGCGCAACTTATCCTGCTTGCACGTCGACAGCACGCAGCTCATGGGCTGCTTCTCGCCTGCCCGGGGACACCGCAACATCTCTCAAGAAGTGACACCATAACTTCTCCCACACCCAATCTGTCCGACATCAGTTCCTAGCAAATCACGCGTCTAGCTCAGGGTCATCAGCCCTAAATTACCAGGTGGCCCATGTCTCTGGCTCGTGAGGAAAATAAATTACCGATGGCAAAGTGCAGCAGCACACATCCTTCACAAGTCGCACAGCGCGAATACACGCTGCGCCGCACACAACACCACAAGGTGTAGAAGGATAGCTTTGGTATCTGTGGGGTTTGAGCCCACGCAGACTGGTATGTCTAGCGGATCTTAAGTCCGCCCCCTTAGACCACTCGGGCAAGATACCACGCCAAACCGCATCAAACCGACGTCGCGGACGAGCACCCCCTCCACTCCTGGGGCTCCCCACGACAGCGCAACCTTATTCCTGCTTCCACATCGACAGCACGCAGCTCATGGGCTGCTTCTCGTCTGCCTGGGAACACTGCAACATCTCTCAAGAAGTGACACCATAACTTCTCTCACACCCAATCTGTCCGACATCAGTTCCTAGCAAATCACGCGTCCAGCTCACCCACACAGGGTCATCAGCCATAATTACCAGGTGGCCCATGTCTCTGGCTCGTGAGGAAAATAAATTACCGATGGCAAAGTGCAGCAGCACACATCCTTCACAAGTCGCACAGCGCGAATACACGCTGCGCCGCACACAACACCACAAGGTGTAGAAGGATAGCTTTGGTATCTGTGGGGTTTGAGACCACGCAGACAGTGATGTCTTGAGGAGAATTAAAGTCCGCCCCCTTAGAACAACTCTGTTATATATCAGGCCAAAACGCCATCAAAACCGAGGTCTCGCAAGGGGCACTTTTCCTTCAACTCTGGGGGCTCTCCACGAACAGCGCAAACTCAATTTATACTTGCACGTCGATCGCACGCAGCTCCTGAGCTGCTTCTCGCCTGGCCCGGGGACACCGCAACATCTCTCCAGAAGTGACACCATTAAACTTCTTCCCACACCCAATCTGTTCCGAAATCAGTCCCTAGCAAAATCACGAGTCAAGCTCACCCACACAAGGGTCAATCAGCCCTAAAATAACCAGGTGGTCCATGTTCTCTGGGCTCGTGGAGGAAAAATAAATTACCGAATGGGCAAGTGGCAGCCACACACATTCTTTCACAAGTTGCACCAGGGCGGAATAACCGCTGGCGCCGCACATCAAACAC